TAAGCCATCGAAAGCTGCTCTTGTAATAAATAATATTGTTAGCAATGATGACGCATATAATTATTTCATTAGAAATGCCAACGATAATGCACCACAACACCTATAAGCATTTGGATTTAAAAAGAATATATGTATTTTTCATGCTTCTTTTGTTTAAGACTCTTTCAAATGGTAGTTGAAGTGTAAAACAGAAATTGTCATATTATAATATTACATAGCCATTAACAATATCGAGAAAGTACATGCCATTGTAGCCCCACTAGTTCTCTCTTTTAGGTGATCATTCATTACTGTCACATGTTCAATATATTTTTATTTTTGAACATTTTATTTTTCAGGTGTCAGAAGTAACTGCTTTGTTGCGAAAGTGGCCAAAATTACCTGTGGAGAAAGCTTTAGAACTTCTAGATTATGCCTATGCTGACCAAGCTGTCAGAAGTTTTGCTGTGGGATGTTTAAAAAGCGTGAGGTAATTATACTTGCAGTGATTTTTAATTTACTTTTCTTTCCCTGTTGAAACTGCTTGTAAGATGTGAACCGTTAATTTTTTTCAGTGATGAAGACCTTTCTTTATATTTGTTGCAATTGGCACAAGCGCTGAAACATGAATCCTACTTATATTGTGATCTAGTGGAATTTTTATTGAGAAGAGCACTCAATAACCAGAAAATTGGACATTATTTGTTTTGGCACTTAAGGTATTTAAATTTTAATATTCAGTAAATATATAAAAAATTAATCCTCTTGGTAAAAATTGCTGATAATGGATTAAAATTTTTGTTTGTATTTTTCTTTTCGCATTAATATTTTATTTTTGTTGTTTTTGTAAAAAAATACATTATATGACACTAACAAAATTTGTGAAGTATATATGTTTATTTTCTATACAAATTTTTAAATCAATTACTCAGTGAAAATACATTTCAGATATTTATGTTTATATTATATGAATTAATTAGAAATTATGTATCAAAACTTGGGTGTTTTGTGAAATATAATCCATAATTTGAAAAAGTGATACAGAAGAAAAGAGAAATGAAAGTTACATATGTTACAGAATGAATGAATGTATTTTATTATACAGCTTTGTAAAAATACAACAGTTAAATAAGACAAATACATCAATATATACAACACACACAAGATACACAATACATATGTACAAGAATATAATATGTGCTATATACTAAGCCTTTTCCTGTAGTTATCGATCATATTGGTCCTTTCATCTATGTCCATATCCTGAATATTCCACCTTGTCCACATTCTTCCTTTGTCAAAAAAAGTCAGATTTCTCAGTCTGTTTTTATCTATTTCCCAACAAACTTGCTGTAATAACTCATTCACCTTCCTCTCCTAATCATATCCTCAAACTTACATGCCGTTTTGCCCATGTCTATTCTCAATATTGCCTCTTTATCTCCTATCTTACCATGTAACCAGGTGTGCTATATTCTATTCCTAGGATCCATCTTAAAAATCTTTCATGTTCTTTCATGGCTTCTAGTTTTCTCCTTTCCTTCCATCCCCAAATTCCTGCTCCCCACCTCAGAATAGTACCAACAATACTGTTACCGTTATTGCCCTTTGCCCCCAAATCCCTGCCCTTTCTTTTAATAATTCCACACACTTGTTTCATAGCCACAATCCCCTTCTTACCTATTTCTGCTATGTGCTTTTCATAGTTCCCTCCCTTGTTAAGCCAAAACCCTAAATACTTATAATCGTTCACCTTTCCTAAAATACATTCTTTCCAATTAATTTTCTCACATTTACTCTTCCTTCTGCCTTTTTTAAGCTCCATCACTTTGATCTTATCCCTATTTAATTCTAGTGCTCTATTCTCTAGAAATGTTTCTAATCTTCCAATATCTGATTTAAGTCCTTGACAATATCAGCCAGTAATACCACATCCTCAGCATAAGATAAAGACCAAATTTTTAATTTGCCAATCAATATTCCACCATCCTGGCCCTTCCTTAACTTCTCTTCTAAACCAACCACACATAAATTGAAAAGAAGTGGACTCAATGGGCAACCCTGCCTAACCTCTTTATTGATCTAGAGCTTGTTGCTAAATTTCCCCTCTATCATCATCCTGCTCGTCCATCTTGCTCGTTTCTTTGCATATATTCTTGCATATATTCTCCATCCATCTTGCTCGTTTCTTTGCATATATTCTTCAAGGAATTAATGATCTCATCAATTTCTAATTTCAACATTATGCTCCACAACTTTTTCCTATTCAGATTGACAAAGGCTGCCTTCAGATCAATAAATACAGCCCCTAGCTTATCTTTTTAACTTTTATTTCCCTTCCTACAATAAATTTCAATGTGTAAATATTGTCCATAACTCCCATACCACTTGTGAAATCTGTTTGATTACTTGGTAATAGTCTTTCTTTCTTACCTCTTTCCAGTCTAAATCTTATATTTCTCATCAGTATTTTATCAAGGATGACATGAGCGTTACCTCTACAGTTTTCTACTTTATTTCTATTTCCTCTCTTATAAACTGGGATAATTACACCTTCTTGCAATTCCTCTGGAATAACTCCTTGCTCAATTGTCATATTGAATAAGCTTTCAATAAGTCTTTTCCCTTCTTCTTTATAACAGATTCAAAATTCATTTGAAATCATATCACATCCTCCTACTTTCTTTTTCTTTAATCCTTTGACAGCATTTCATATTTCTTCCTTGTCTATTTTTCTCATGAAGTTCGTAAATTCCACTGTGCTCACTCCATTTTCCAACACTTCCTTGTTATCCTGGTCTTCTAATCTTTTCTTAAACCATTCGTACCATTCTTTCATTTCAATTTCATTGCTAATTATCCTCTAACCTTTTCCTCTCTCTTTCCTTAAAATTTCCCACCCTTCACTCTGAGATTTAACCTCTCCTAGCTCATTTAATCTTCTATCTATTTTTATTCTGACAGCTCTTTAAAATCTGCTATTATCTTAACTTCCCTAATTTCATTTATTGTTTTCATTTTCCAGTTTCTCAAGGCCTTTTACTTCCAGTTTCTTTTTAACATTCTGGTTTTCCCACAATTTATTCATACATTCATCTCCATCCCTAATCATAACTTTTTCTGATAACTACCTCCGAGATCTTTGAATAGGCATATGGTTCGATTCAAATCTTTCTTACACCATTACTTCTTTTATCATTTCCTTTCACTTTTTCTTCCTTCCTCTCCTACAATAAGATAATCTATCACAGTGCCCTCTCCCTTCCCTCCTACAAATGTATACTCCCCCACTCCAGTCTCCTTCCATATTTCCATTAGCTATACACCAGCCTTCCTCTTTCAAAAACATCAATAATCTTTTACCTTCTCCGTTGATTACTTTATCCTTGAATCTTCTACATTCATCATAATTCCTCCCCTTTGTCCATCCAACTCCCCCTACATCCTGTCCTTGAATTAAAATCTCCTCCAAATATAATTTGATTTTCTACTTTTCCTAGATTCCCCATTCCATTATCTCATTTGTTCCTTCTTCATGTTTATAGTACAAATCGCCCCTAAATCACCATTAAATTATTAATTGGATTGTTGGTGAAGTAGATACCTTTTTTTTTTTTTTATTTTGATCAATAAATAGAGAT